TGGACTGAAGACAATTCTGTGTGTAGCAACTATGTCTTCCCCACCTGGCTTCATATTTACACTAGAGTAAGTGCAGGCTTCCCAATCTAGAAAGTTCTCCTACCCTTGCCCAGGGCCCTGATCCAGATCTGGCCTCCTGTACCTACTGTAGAGTAAAAATGAGGGAAGGTGGAACTCCTGGCCAGAGATTTAAAATAACCTCTCTTTGACTCACAGGTCTGGAAAGACCTGGCTTCAGATCAGCCATGAACTTGACCAGGTGACCTTGGGCAGGTTATCATCTCACAGGTGACCTTGGGCAGGTTATCATCTACCTTGCAGGCATCTTTTGAGCATAAAAATTGGCAGGTGAGAACCAGTGTCTTGAGCTTCTCAGAAGAATTAGATAAACAATGGATGATAAATGCAACTTGGAGATGGCTGGCTTCTTTAAAAGCTAGAGAGCAGAATGACATTCTGGCTAGTAAGACACCATTTTATCTATGTGCACCATTCTATTTGTGACTGTTGGAGTATTTAAAGGCCAGGCAGCTGCTATATAGGATTAAATGGTAGAAGTGGGTGAGGGGGGAAGAAAAGAGTAATGGCCTGAAGAAAGTCAGGTGCTCCATGTCACTCACGTGGGCATCCTCCTCCTTCAAGTCTGCATTGCATGAGTCTTGGCTTTGATTCAACCAAACTTAACATGCACAGATATATTCCGTAAGTGCAAGTGGGAGAGCTGTGTGCTTAGCATTCTTCCAAGGAAATAAATTGGACACCGTGTCCAATAAGCTTTGGTTGGATAATACTGTTTATTCCTGGAGAAGTCCTTGGAGCAGCTTCACATAGTACAAGGGTGTAGGACCTCAGGTCCAGGGCACAAATCCGGCCCCCAGGGTTCTCCCAGTGACCATTTCTTGGGTTTTTGACTGTTTTCCCCTGTGCTGAAAGTTTAATGCCTCTCCTGAAGGCTGAACTACTGACACTAAGAGCTTTAAGTTCCAATAGGCTGGAATTTGAGGCCCAGTCACGGGCCTTCAGCCTCACTCACCGTGAGAATGCAGCCCTGGAGAGCTTCTCCAGGATTGTATGTGGTCCTGCAGGTGAAAGAGGTGGTGCTACCTTGACATGACCATCCTGCAGTTGTTGTGTGCAATGGTACCAAAGTGCAGTCAAGAGCCCAGTAACAATGTATTGTTGGTTATAAGCACCATAGCAGAGCGTGACCTTGCTCTCCTCTACTGAAGCAAAATTTGGTGGTGAGGCCGGCTGTTCCTCATACTTTTAAGAGCCCTTGCGGGGCTCTTGGCATAAAATGGTGGCATACCTGTGTCTGGGAAGCCTGCCAAAGTGTCTTTCGAAGGCTCTTCTTCTGTGGGATGGGATTCATTCAACAGTTGAGTTGGAGCCAACAGGCAGATGGTGTTTTAGCACTAATCCTGTAACTGTATTAATCTGATTGGAATGGGATTGTTTATACATATTTTTTTCTACTCTCAACCATTCTGAGCATTCTGATTAGGGTTGGCTAGAAAAGTTAATGAATTGCACTTAGTAACTCATTCACTGCATACTTCAGGTCAGAACTAAACTGGAAGGAAAGGGCAAAAATTGTTTCTTGACAAACACCTTTTTTCTTTCTGATCCCACTGTGCATATGAATAAACCTAGATAATAGAACACAGGCAGCACAATCCTATACATGTTCACTCAGAAGTCCGACTGATTTCAGAAAGGATTACTCCCAAGTGAGAACAGGATTGCATCCTAAGGTGTTATGGATCCCTGTCTACTTGGACATGTCTTATTCTCACATACATATGAGATTTCAGTGTAAGATTTCAACATAGCAATCAATTATTTAATTATTTATTTCGAAAATTTCTATGCCGCCCCATTCGCCAAAGCCTCGGGGCGGCTCACAAACATATCAATTAAAACATTATACAATAAAAATATAAAACAAGTTAACAATATAAAATCAATGCATTCTATTGCAGGGGTGGTCAAACTTGCTCAACAGAAGCACCAGAAAGTAAATATCAGAGGTTTGAGAGCCACAAGTCATGGACAAATATCTATTTACTTAGTATTTATTTATTATGACCAATCAAACATGGCTACAATGGCCAGGCTAGCTACTGCTAGGTCATTGGGAGTCTCCTCTCTTGGCTGCGAGTCGCTGAGAATTTACAGCAAAATTGCTTTGGAAGCTTTGGCAAGGACCCGATCCTCCCTTCAGCTCCAGCAGGGCTCAGGGGGAAAGCAGCATGATTTTGCATGTCAGTCTCGGCCTGAATTCTGCACCTTGCCTGATCAGGAGCATCCTTTCCTGTCTCTCATTTCATGCCAGTGGCAAATAGGGACCTACTATATTATAGGCCTTTTTGGACCTTCTGTTCTATTGACTGATTGCTCTATGGCAGATTTAAGCTGAAATTCTGTACTGACATGCATGAGAGTTCCATGAACTCAACAGGGCTTAGGGCAACTATTGCTCAGTCTAGTCACACTCGCAGCCTTGCTTCTAATGGAAAGATGCAATACACTGCTATTCATTTCTAGTTTCAGTTGCATTTTATTGGTTAAGCGACTATTCATACTATTATACCGAAAATGATTACATTGGGAACTACTAGACATTTCAAAAAGAGGGTGATCTCAGAGAAAATTTGGATATAAGACGTCTTTATCACTATCAGCCATGATAGTGAGAAATAGTGATAGGACCACATAGAACTCCTCGATTTGTGCACACTGGTGCAGAAGGAAGGTGCAGAGCCAGCATCTTGCTGTGATTGAAGCAGCTTTTGCTTGATCAGAGTAAACCTTTGCAGAGTAACTGCTCTGAAGTTCTTGGATGTAGGTATTTCCCTCTGATGAAACACACAGAACTCAAATCACGAAGTGGGCAAGCTGTGGTCTTTTCAGATGTTTTGGCCAGCAATCCCTATCAGTCCTAGAGAGCTTTGGCTATTGGGCAGTAAGGAAATAATAAAATAATAAAGAATGATGGGGGTTGCAGGCAAAAACATCCACAAGTGAGCCACTGCTGTCTTAGACTATAAATCTGGGAGGGGCATAAATATTGCACAGCACCTATCAGGTTTTTTTTAAAGCTGGTATTACTTTATATGTTGCAACAACCCAGCTTTGTGTCTGTGTAGTTTGGCCAGCTTCAGTCTGGAGAGACATCCCTTGCAAGGAATTTTGCTACAGCAACCACCCCAAAGCTGCACTAAATCACTCCAAATCGCATCGAGAGACTCAGCGGGAAACTGAACACCAGGACTACTTCCTCTCGCACCAGACATGGTGTCTACTGGAAGAACTGCAGTGTGATCGTTCAGCGCATGTGCCATTCAAGTGCTTACCCTGTTTTCTCCATTGCCCTCTGTCCTCCCTAAAATGCTGGGTTTGAAGGGGTGCATGGGGGGCCTTGAATGAGGGGGGCGAGGTATTGCACACAACTGCCTTAGCTGCCATAGCCTGCAGCAGAAGTGAAAAAATACACACCCCACTGACCCGATATACCCCCAAACTTTGTGGTAAGTAGGCACATCTGGAATGTTTAGGAAGTACCTTGGGTTCTCTCACAAATGGCTGCCATTTTAGGGTGTTGTCCATTTAAAATATGGGTGCCATGGTGGGCATGGCCAGTCATAAAACTTTCATTTCTGAGGAGAGACATTGGTAAGCCTATAAAGAAAATAATTTGCCCATGACAGAGATGGACTCTGAAACCACTTCTCTGAACCCCAAGTAAGATGGTGCAGGAGGGAGGAAATTCACTTTGCAGCATGTCAGCAAGCTTTGCCGTTAAAAAGAAAATGAAACATCTTACAAAATTAAATAAAAACCAGGCAGGTTAAGGAACTCGGGGAATTCCAAGAGAAGCGTCCCTTGGGCATACAGTATACTATCTCCAAAAAGCAAATGGCTCGAATCTTGAAGACTGCAGCAAGGAAAGCAAAAGCAAACTGCAAAGGCTAAAAGCCAGAGAGAGGCAGCCCCAACTTGTGACAAGGACTGCAATGGAAACGGGAAACAGGATGTTTGCAGGTGTGTGTGCAGGGAATGACAATGGACCGTCTGGACAAGCTGTGCCAACTCAGACAACAGCAGTCTGCAAGGCATATATATATATAAAAAAATAGGGCCCAGGCACAGAGGACACAAATCTGCATGTGGTAATTTAAATTAACATGCAAATTTAGAAATGTTCATAATTGGCTTAAATTCACAGCCAGCCAATTAATTTCCCATCCAAAATATATCAAAATGAATCCTTCCATCAAATTGCATCGTGCTGCAGATCATTCTAATGCCACAGAAGTTTTTTCTAAGTTTCACTGTCATTTAGGTGAAGGCTTTGGGTGCAGCATATAGGCAGGGTAGAGTTAACCCTTTCCTCCTGAGTGCAAGCTGGGGGGGGGGGGGGGGGAGAGAGAGAGAGAGAGAGAGAGAGAGAGAGAGAGAGAGAGAGAATGTTTCTGCTGTCATCGTCACACTCTCAGTATGGGGCCCGGCCTGCAAAGACTATCAACTCGGCAAGGAGGTCGGACATCAAAATGTTTCCCTCCACGCCTTCAGCCCCCATCTGCACCGGCCTGTTGGCTGTTGCATAAGCCTCGCTCGGTCGCACGAAGCGGTTATGTAACGCACCCCTGCCACACCAGGACTCCCCATGCACGGCCCACAGATGTGTGCGTGGTGGGGGGGGGCAACCCTCCACCTCTCCCGTGCCCCAAACTTGCAGGATCCCAGCCAGATCCGCGGAGACGGTGCAAAAGTCGCCGTGCTCACCCGGCACCTGCAGCCCCCGCCCCGCAGCCCAGCGCGCGCGCCCGCCGCCCGTATCTCTGCGCAGAGCTCTGCAGGGAGAAGATGAGTCAGGGCGATCGGCGGTGGCGCTGGCAGCAGCGGCAGCGGCAGCAACGGCGAGAGGGGCCAGGAAGGCGGGGACCCGCGAGCGCGGCCGGGGGAGGAGCCTGCGGCAGCACCATCGCTGGCGAGCGGGCAGCGCCGGGTCCTGGAGCCCTCCCTCTACAGGCCGGCGTTTCTGAACTGGAGCTCTGCCGAGGGGATCTCTTCCAAGCCGAGCCCTGTCTTAGGTGAGTGGCGAGCGGGCGAGGCGTGCTGCCGGGGCAAGGCGGCGAGGGCTGCCGCGGCGGGGCGGACTTGGGGGCGCCCGCGCGGCCGACCGCTTCGCCTGCGCTCGGGACCTCGCCTGCTTGTCACTTGCGCGTTCGGCGGCGGCGGCGCCGTCCGCCCGTCTCGGCTGGCACCGGTCGCTGCCAGCTCGACGTCCCCAGCCCCCACCACGCTTCAGACCCGGGTCCCGGCGGCGCCCCTTCTCTGGCTGCGCGTGGGCAAAACTTTTGCTTTCCCCTTTCCTACCCCCGGAGGCGGACCTCCCCGCCCGGGAAGAAAGGACGCCACGCGCTCGCATTGCCGTGCGCGCCTGTGCATGCGTGTGCGTGCTCGTGTGAATGCGTGTGCCGTTCTGCTGAAGGCATCGAAGAGGGACTGTCACACTGGCCCGGCTGACAGCCGATCGTGTCCGGTTTCCAGCTAGTAGGGTTAACTTTTGAAGTCGCTCGGCGCGCTTCGCCTTCCTGCCTGCGACGTTTGCAGGACTGCTCCAGAACGCGCTGGCTTGCTTTGCGCGGTCGGTTGTAATTCGATGATTCGATTCGATGATGCGGGAAAAACGCCTTGCGCGGCGGGATGCGTGTTTACTCCTAAGTAAAGCCCCGCCGCATTTGAACGGGACTTGGTCATTAGTAAGTTGCGTTTAGGGCTGCAGAGGGGGGAATGCGGCGCGCGTGATGAGCGATCAAAGAGAGAGAGAGAGAGAGAGAGAGAGAGAGAGAGAGAGAGAGAGAGAGAGACTGTAAAAATCGGGTGCATGCGTTCTAGTTTTGGTTTCACAAAGTAGGTCTGTGTAAACTACAAATAAAAATGCGTTAAAAGCAGGAGGGCGGGAGGGCGGGCAGGCGGGCGGGCGGAGCGAAAGAGCTTGTGCAGTTGCAGGCTTCCCTCTACATAATGTAGCGGTTTATTTATAGTTCTTCGAGGGAGGCGCCTGACTGATAGTTTTCAGAGAGCGTATTCGATCTTTCAGCTGGTGGGAAAGATATTTCTCTCGAAGTTCTCACTTCCCACTTTGGCAAATGTCTTTTGCCCTCCGCAAATTCGGCGGAAAATTGCACGTGTGATCAACAATTTCATCCATTCAACTTTTCTGCTTATAGTATATCATTACTGTACTTTTATTGTTTGAATTATACCTTAGCCTTTTGAACATGTAGATTAAAACATTTAATTGTGATGAGATATTTGTAGTGTATAAAGAAGTGGGGCAGGGAAGAAGAAATGTCTTCTGTCATTATGTCGTTAGAATTGTTTGTATTTTCAGAAGGAATGTTTTTGTACCTTGCAAAAGACCCTGTGTTGTAACATACTGGGAATAAAGAACAACCCATGCAGCTGTTTCCTTTCTTTTCCAAAACATTACATTTATTGAAGATCTTTCAAAAACATAAAGAAGTATCATTAATGCAAGTGGGAGAAAACAACCTATGAGCCAAATAAAGCAAAAGCAAAGCATAGACAACTTAGTGGATAACCCAGACAAAACTTACTGGACTATAAGAAAAAGAAGCAAATATTAGCAAAGGTTCATTTCTAATAACAGATTTTTCTTCCTTCCTTTGCATACAAGGATCACTAATAAATCTAGCACCACCTGAGACAAGCCAATGAGTATATGTATGTCTGGCTCCTTCCTAGGATTTCCAGCTTACTTGACAAAGAAATAAGCATCCATGTTTCTAGCCCTCACTGAGATTGATTGGATACTCCCTGTGTAGTTTGCCTTTGATCTGGTTGCTCAGCAAGAAGTGGACCTGCTCCGGCAGTCTTCCATTACCCGGGACAATGAGTGCAAAAGCTTTGGAAATAACTCAGAGACATTTGGACCTTACGGCAACGATGACCCAATCTTACACATGCTGCTTGGAAGCAAGTCCCACTGTGTTCATTGAGGCTTGGTCACATGTGCACACGACTGCAAACTAATAGACATTTTATTCGGATTATTTAATTCAGGATTTTAAGGATTGCTGACTACCTGTATTCAGGATGCAGCTGTTTTGGACAGATTTATTCTGCTTTCTTCCCCCTAATTATAAACCTTATTGTACCCTGTTAAAAACTTTATTCTAGCTATTTTTAACATTTATATATTTCATTAATGTTTTAAATGGTAAGTTTTTAATATTTAACCCACCTTTGGTGCCAGAACTGGAAGAGGCAAATTTTAAATATAATAACATTAATAGTAATATGCATAAAGCACATTATTGGAGACTTGGAAGTTCTCTAAATAAATGTTAAGCATTCTTCTTACGAATGAAGAGCAGAAGTAGACTGGGATGTAGAATGGAATTAGTTTTAGAAGCCCTGCTGAGGCCTGTACTTTTCTGGCTCATTTGACATCTTTATTAATTAAGAGCTCACTCCAGGCGGAACCCAGAAGGAAAGGAGCACGTTACATTACAGCCATTCTATTAGCGGAACACTCTGGCTCCCCCTCCACCCGCCCTGGCCCCAGTATGCAGTGTCCTCTTTATTAACCCATCCACCTGTGGACGTGTCTCGACTTGTGACGCCAAAAAGTTGATTTGCAAAAGAGCAGTTCCCTCTGGTGTAAGTACAGCCTGGCACGCGATGCCCCTTTGCACAGTAGACATGTGTTCTTGGCACACTGCGCGCATGGAATCCTGCCCATGTCACTTAACCGGCAGTTGCGTGGCCTCTAGTTTTAAAGGATAAACAAACCTTTCTTTCCAGAAAAGGAGGAGCATCTGTCTACTAAAGTGGCTGAGAATGGAAGACGTGCTTGATTGACTAGAGAAACAAGAGAAGGGTGGAGTGAACACTTTGTCATTGGCTGTAAAGTGCTCCAGCCAAGCGCACCCTGATCTTTCTGCGGGGCTGAAAACAGACAGTCTTTTCAAGTCTGTGGGTTATGAGAGCAGCTTCCTGCATTGCTTTTCATGTATCCATAGCATGATTGATTAATGTATTTTTCTGGTTATCTATTAGTAATGCTTATGTATTACTTAATATAATTCATCCTCTTAGCGGCTGATTATTACATTGCTATCCCATTTTTCTTCCTAAAGGCAATCCAAGGTGGTTTACATGCATTGCCTCTCTAGTTCCACTTCACAACAGCCCTGGGAGGTAGGTTAGGCAGTAACTCAGTGACTTACTTATGGCCAAGAGGGGAATAGAACCCAGTCCAACAGTTTTCTACTCTACACTGGCTCTATAACACTATGTTGTGTGGCTGGATGCAAAGGTGACCATGTTCTCTTGAACCTGATGACTTGCTAATGGGGCATGATGATGGGCAGGTGTCGCTGGAGTTATCAGAGATGCTTGTGCAATGGTTTTTCACGGCTGGAAGCTGTTTCTTGAATGAGCATGGGTGGCCGGGATTACTTTGAGACATACCTCGTGTGTCAGGGCTGTGGCATACCTAGAGAAGAAAACACTTGGGTATTGCAAAGGAGCCAGCAGTTACAGGGCTATTTTGTTTGTTTATTTATTTATTTATTTACTTACTTACTTATTTAAAGTTTTTCTATGTTGTCCCATTACTAAAGGTCTCTGGATGGATTACAGCAGCATACTTTATTGTGAGACCCCGGAAGAGATTGGTGAGCAAATGAGAGTAGGGATATGTCTGCATGGAGGATTCTTTCCTACAACATGTGCCACACATTGCGATTCTTGTCTTTCCAAAGGTTTTTGTTCTCTGCATGCTGTTGATACAGTGGTGCAGGCCCAGCTGCCACTCCTGCCCGTCAGATCTGCAGCAGGAGATGGCTTTGCCCTCTCAAGTCACCAGTTCGAGATAACAAGCGGGCCGGGGGAGTGGTAGCTTGTGAGAAAGGCAGAAGGGCAGCACATTTGCCCGGGAGCTGCAAGAGCTCCTGAGCAGTGAGCAGAGGAATCCCTTAGTTATCTCCGATCCCAGCTCTCGAGATCACGTCCTTGTGATGTCGTTTAGCCCATAGCAGGTTGGGGAGGGGTCTGTGCCCAGATTCGGCTCCCCATCTCTGTCCTGGCGTGTTCACTTCTTATGCTCCTTCACTAACAGCTGAAGCACTTGCGGAATGAACTTTATGACAATCGCACCCTTAATCCTTTGCCCTACCAATCTTGTTCTGACTTCCTCACTTATGAACACAAACTCAAGCTGGCATGCAGGTTAGTCCCTAGCCTATCTCTTTCCAAGTGTTTTGGACCATGGGCTGAGACTTCTGGGAGCTGCAGTTGAAAACTTCTGTTAGCCCAGGTCTATAGTATCCTTCTACCCCATGTTTAAATCAGGACAGCTTTGCTAAGTCCAGCTTTATCTGCTGCCATGTTGTTTTGTTTTGCTCCACTCTCACTTCTAAATCCCCCTGATGGGAGGTTTCTCCCTGTGAATTACTGCATCCTCTTCACAGCGTTTCCCTCAGCCGCCTTGCGCTGCATTCTCTCAGAGACCAGTCATCAGCTCTTTCATTTGCTGCCAAAAGATAAGCAAGCACCAGGCTTTCCCAGCGGCATGTTTTGGAGATGTTTCCCTTCCTAGCTGAGCACTGGTGTCAGCAGTCCTCATTTGGCCCTGCTTGGCACAGAATCTTTCTCCACCTTCAAGCGAATGACTTGAGCCAGGGCCTGCAGCAAAAGCTGATCAAGATGCCAGGGGTTTTTCTCAAAGTTGGTTGTCTGCAAATTTTTTAAAAAGTGCATTTGCTTCCTGTGTGTTGTTGCACTGAGAGCATTCAGCGTGCCTTATCACAAGGTTCTGCTTCAGTTGCGCAGACGCCGCTTCTCCGCCAGCAAGCAAAGGGCTGGAGTTTTTATACCAACTAGAAAAAATGTTATTTTTCTCAAACTTCTCTCTCAGGAAGCCTAGTTATTATTTCTCTCTGAAGTAGGTAGCCTTTATAAAAATGTTATTGCCCCTTCAGCTAGCATGTTCATTGCAGTTGTGGTTGTTTGTGTAATATAGGCCAGAGTGCTTTATGTTGCCCCACCAAGACTGTGAAATTCCCTCCCAGGGTTGAGAAATTGCTGTGTTCCACTTTATTGTCTTTCTGCCACAGTATTAATAATCCCTTTCTCTTGGGCAAGACCCGTGCACCTTAGAGGTTTTACATTAAAGGGTCTACACTGCTTTCTTGGGTTTTTATGGTATTTTATCCCTGCACTCTTCATTCTTTATGTGTCTTGGGCTGCTGTTCAATTTGCTTTTGTGATGTTTGTTTCATTATTAAAGTGTTCCCTGCATTCGCTGTGGACTGTCTTGCATTTTCATAAGGCAGGTGTATACATTTGTTCACATATACCCCAATTCTGCAAGGGGATAGAAGCTCCAAGGGTGAAAAGCTTTTGCATTTTGGTTTCCTTAGGAAGGGAGGCTGATTGGCATTTGTAATATCTGTATTTATTTATTTACAAATATGCACACTAAGCATGGGTTGAGGTACAGCTTAAACACTCCAACAGACATCCAAAGTCCATTGGTCCTGCATTGGTTCTCTAGAATTGGGGACCCCAGCCTTTTGGGCTGGTGGACATATGGGAATCTTGAGAGCGTCATGGACACTTTCACAAAATGGCTGCCGGGGAGGGGTGGTTCAGCCATTCACATAACAGCTTTGCATCAATTTTTCATATATAGCAACACCTTCATCTGGGAGGGAGGAATAAAGATGTGACTCTTTTCTGATGGCCATTTATTTATTTATTAGATTTCTCTCCTACCTATTGGCCAAAATAGCTCCCTGGGCAGATTACAGTATATAATATATAATTATCATTTATAATTATAACAATATACATAATAAATGTGATATAAATAGCATATATATTACAACACTAAAATCATGACACAGAAGAAATCCCACAATAAAACCACGCAGTAACTTTAGTTCTTAAGCCAATAAAAAGGCACAGTAGCACAAAATATAACAGATTCCATAAAACCTTTAAAATTACCTTAGCAAATAAAATATTGGGTAAATAAAAAGGTCTTTGCCTGGTGCAGAAAGAATATAAAGAAGGTGCAAGGTGAACCTCTTTGGGGAGGTGATTCCAGAGTCGGGGTGCCACTACAGAGAAGGCCCTTCTCCCTTTAGCCACCCTCTGTATTTCCTTCAGAAGGGGTTCTCTGAGAAGGACTCCAGAAGATGATCTTAGGGCCAGTGTGCACATGTATGGAAAGAGATGCTCCTTTAGATAACCTGGCCCCAAGCCATTTAGGGCTTTAAATACTAGTGTTAACACGTTGAATTGGATATCAATCGGTAGCCAATTAAGTTGACAGAGGGCTGGCATTATATATTCGTATGGGCCAGTCCTCATCAGCAGCCTCAGTGCCCTATTCTGGACCAATTGAAGTTTCTGGTCCATCTCCAAAAGTAGCTCAGCATAGGGAGTGTTACATAATCCAGACAAGAGGTTACCAGAGCATGAGTTACTGTTGCACGGAAATGGCCTTTTCCTCTTCCATTCCTCTCACTCAGGAGGACAGCTGAACAAAGAGTGCTGTGGGAACATATCGCCAGCATTTGCCCAGCAAAGGACTGAGCCTGCCCAGCGCTTTCCAGTTGCTTTGGCTACTCCACATTTACATGCATAGGCTCACAGATCTGGCGGGTCAGTGGAGGCATCTAGTCCAGCCACATGGCTCACAAAACTATTTTGCACCAGGTCTTCCCATAGGCAGTAGGGCATATTGCAAGACCTTTTTCATGCCGCTAGGATGTGACCTCTCCCTAGTAAACAGGCCTGGCTGCCCTCGCCCCTTTCGCACGGCACCGTGGCATGCTAGGTCAGGACAAATGAAGATGCCAGGAACCCATGCCTTGCACAATCGACCTATATATGCGGAAGGCTCCCCAGCTTTGGTTAGGGTGGAGTAATACGTAACTACCCTATGCAAAAAGAAAGGAAAGTGACAGTGTCGTCAATTACTTTTGAATGCTTGTCAAAGGTGCCTTTAATGCAGGCTATCTAGAAAGCTCATCAGCCCAAATGTTTCTTGGGAAGTGCAGTTGCCGTGCCTTGAAGTGTGAGAGCTAATTGGCTCTTGAAGGAAAGCCCCTTTCATTTCCTCCGTGACTTGCATCTCAACAGGAAACCTTCCTTTTTCAGCAAATCATCGTAAAACTTGGTTTAACTTGCTCATTAGATTGAACTAGTCACATTATTTTTTTAACGTTTCCCCTAATCTGGTTAAGATGTTTCCTTTTCTCTTGTTTCATCTGCTGTAGTTATTCATACAAGCTGGAGCAATTCTCCACTCTGCTTCCAGGAATCTGCTGTTGTTTGCATTTTTCATGCAAAATTTCGTTGTGAAAGCTCAGAGGTCTTCAGCGATTGGGTGGTAATCCACAAACAAACAAATATACTTAGTCTCATGAAAAAGGCACCAGCTTAAATCAGCATAATGATTAAATCCTATGTTTGGAACAACAGAGTGTTAGGCATGACTTGTACAGACCCAGGGATGGGATTACACCAACCCAACATTTATTTAGAAAACATGATTTTAAAGAAATCTACAGTTCTAGGAAAAAGAAATATGGGCAAGTACACCACTTTGTTTTCAGATTGTGAAGGGCCAAGTAGAAATGCAAGGAAAGACTCCCTAGGTTCTGAGAAGCAACCTTTTTAGACTGAGTCTTAGTTTCATATGTGCCCAGTCATTGCTTCCTATGTAAAAGTACACACATTACTTAGTACCTACTTAGTACACAAAAGACTATAGGAAGGAAAGAGAATCCCATAGGTGATTCCCATAGGCCAGAATCCCATAGGTCAGAGTCAGAGGATGCACACAGGTGCAGAGATGCTGAGGGCTATGTCTGGGTGTTCAGGGATAGGCTAGACATGCACATGGTAGGCATGTCATGAGTGGAGCCAGCTGGAGCCAGGATCAGACTTGGACCAGGAGGCCCCTTCTGACTCTATATGTCTGTGTTGACCATGTGCTCAGGGAGCAGCCTTCAGCTCTTGGTGGGGTGGGAGGAATGATTTCAAATGATTGGTCCAAGGGAAAGATCTAAGACAGGGCTGTTGATCCTCTTTCAGCTCAAGGGGAGAAATTCTTCATGTCTGCAGAAGTTTTTTGAGGACTGCATTCCATGGGTGGGTGAGGTCTTGCAAAAGGGGATGGGCCAAATGCACATTGTATTTTAGCATAATACCTTACTGCCATTAACTAAGCCTCAACAGTGGCATTGCAATCTTTTAAAATGGAAGAAAACACCCAAAGCATACAGAATTGTGAAGTAGTTGAGATTTGGCTATGGGCCGCAGAGAAATGCTGTTGCAACCTTGCTGAAACTAAGCAAGTCCAGATGTGGTCAGGGCTGGATGGGAGACTCCTTGTGCATCTCATTCAGCATGTGCTTCTTTGAGAAATCTTCATCAGGGCACGAGGGGAGGGAATACAATGCTAGCAGGATGTTGAAGCCAAAAAGTCTGCATTCATAACATGGAGCTAGATAAGCTGCCTTGGGATCCTCATAAGAGGAAAAGGGAAGGATTTAAGTATAAGTTAACAAGAGTCAAGGCTTTTATCCTGCTGTTACCCTGCCCTATTTGCAGAATGCCATGTGGCTTCTGAAGGATGACCTCTTCCCTTCACAACCGCCCCAAGCCTTTCCACTGCTGCTTCTGCCGTATCTCTTCCTGCAGAAGATCTGTTACCGATGAAAAGATGGAATCGCTGCACAGTGCCCTCTGGGTGAAGCCCTGAAATCGGCCAGCGGAAGGACAGAAAGCAGACTTAATTAGATTGTGTTTTATTAGGTACTGTGCAGGTTTCACATTACATCTAGAATTAGCTGGGATGAGCAGAAACAGAATGTCATTGCTCCGCATTTCAGAAAAGATAAACAGTGACCTGCCTGGAGCCTGAAGAGACACACAGTGATTTTTTAATGTACCAGATCAGATTCGGCATATGTTCAGAATCATGCTTTTCCTTATTATCTGTGCCCAAATAAAGTAGTGGGATTGCATTCCCAACAAATTCTGGGAGTTGGACTCCAGATTTGTCTTCAGCACTGAATTCATTCTTCTTTCTGACTGGACAGAATGTTGTGGGTTCCCTCCAGGGGGATCCTATCAAAGGCCCCGCAGGCCAGATTGCAAAATTCTGTGGGCTCACTTAGGCCTGTCGCTGTGGGTTCTGCATACCTGTTCTAGGGCGTCCATACCTTTTGCTTCCACCCCAGCAAGAGGCCATTCTCCTGAGCAAACAAGCTTTGCAAAGGGAATAATGTTCCCAGATGCAAGCTCTCATTTCTGCAAGGCCAGTGACAAAAGGCCGAGCAGATGTCATTAATTAAGGACGCTGTGCTCTGCAGAAGTGAATCATCGCTCTGGAGGGTGAAACAGGGCTTCGGAGGCCTGGCCTCTTCTGCACTGACTGAAACCATTCTGAGAGCAATTGAATCAGCCATGTTCCTCCCAGGAAGCCATCACAGCATACTTACAATGAATCAGTGACTCACAGGGGCTTGAGCTTCCCTTCTGCTATATTAAGAACCCAGCCCCATTTACTGACAGGCGCTTCTGCTTTAGCCTAATCTGGCTAGTCTGCGCAATGGAAGAATGCAACCTTTTTAGCGTGAATTCGGCAATGCTGATGACTGTGCCTACAGCTAATGTGCAGTATTTGATGGGATGCTTTGGCCATGTGCAAAAATTAATGATTAGGCCTTAGCTGTTCTGTGTTGACAAGGGTAGCCTTTTCAACAGCAGCATGGACCTTTCAGGATGTTCCCTCCTGCCTGCCAACATGATTTATTTGTTAATATATTTATAACATTTCTATACTGCCACGTAGCTTCTAGACCCTCTGGGTTAAAATAACTGGAAAATAGAAAGGTTTGCACCTGATGCCGAAAGGATGGCAAAGATGGTGCCAGGCGTACCTCTCTGGGGAGCATATTCCAGAGATGGGGTGTCTTTACCGAGAAGACCCTTCTCCTGGTTACCACCTCCCTTACTTCTTTAGCAGGGGATCCCCTGAGCAGGCCCTTGGCAACTGATCTTAAGGGTCAGGTAGGAACAGATGGGACAAGGCATTCCTTCAGATACATAGAAACATAGAAACAGAGCGAGTCGGAAGGGGTCTCCCGGGCCATCTAGTCTGACCCCCGGCTCCAGCTGGCTCCACTCATGACATGCCAACCATGGGGCCTCAACCACCTCCCGTGGAAGCCCATTCCACGCCCTCGGGGTCCTAACTGTCAGGAAGTGTTTCCTGGCATCTAAATGGAACCTCGGTTCCCTGAGCTTTGCTCCATTGGAGCGCGTCCTGCCTTCCTCTGCAGGGGAGAACAGTTCTCTAGATAACCTGGTCCCAAGCTGTTTAGGGCTTTAAATGTTAGAACAACCACTTTGAATTGGGCCTGGACTTCAACTGGCAGCCAATGCAGCTGAAGGGGGACTGACGTGAAATGATCTCATGGGTTCCCATTAATAGCTGTGCTGCCCTGTTCTGAATAAGTTGTAGATTCTGGATCATCTTCAAAGGCAGCCCCATGTAGAGAACATTGTAATAGTTCAGATGAGAGATTGCCAGAGCATGGATAATTGTGGCCAGGCAGAGAGGGATGTAGTTGCTAAATTACCCTAAGCTGATAAAAGGTAGTCCGAACCACAGAGTCCAGTGACCATTCTGGATCTAGGAGCACCTTCGAGCACCCCCGAACTACGAAGCTTATCCTTTAGGGAGAGCGCAACCCCATCCAGGATAGGTTGAAAACCTCCCAACTAGACAGACTGTCTACCCACTAACAGCACCCCTGTCTTGTCCGGATTGCATCTCAGCTTATTGGCCCTCATCTAGTCCATTACTTAGCTCAGGCAGTGATTTGGAATGGCCACTGCCTCACCTGGATTTGATGAAAAGGAGAGGTAGAGCGGAGTGCCATCTGCATAGCAGATTTACCAACTATGCCCCTACCTGGATGGACAGAGCCTGAAGACAGTCACCCATGCCCTGGTAACATCCAGGATACATTATTCTAACACACTCTACGTGGGGCTGCCCTTGAAGACAGTCTGGAAATTGCAGCTGGTACAGAATCAAGCAACGAGGGTGGTAGTGGGTGTGTCTTTTAGGTGCACATCACTCCAGTGCTGAAAGATTTGCATTGGTTACCAGGCCCATTTCAAAGCGCTTGTTACGACATATAAAGCCCTAACCGGCTTAGGGCCTGGCTGCCTGAAGGACCGCCTCCTCCCATATGAACCTGCCCATCCCTTAAGATCAGCCCAGGAGGCCCTTCTGCAAGTACTACCCCTCAAAGAGGTGAGAGGGATGGCAAATAGATATGCCATCCTGCTCCCTGCCTTTGGAGTAGGGATGTCTGCCTGGTGCTGTCTATATTGTTCCAGCACCAGGCTAAAACATTCCTTTTTTATATCATTTTTTAGCAATTGATCCTGCCCTCCCGCTCACTGCTTGCTTTGATGTTATTATTGTAAGGTTTTAAATTCTGTTAATGAAGTTTTTATTTTTTAATTATTGTTATATGTACTTTTTCTTGTAAGTCACCTTGAGACTTCAGTAGTAGGTTGCATATAAATGGAAATATAAAGCAATAAACATTGGTGACACTTCAGCCCAAACCTCTGGATATTCCACGCAGCTAGAATAGGGTACATGCAGGGTGCTGCAAATCTGAAAATACAACACAAAGCTGGTTCAAATCATATTTCTTCTTGGTAACATCCTTTCTCGGACTCTGCTTATGAAAGTAAGATTGGAACTTGGGCCATAGGGTGGGGATTACCTTTTACTGCCCTCAGAAAGCAGGCTGCAAGATGAGTGCATCTGCTTCTGCCTGTTCCCTGCCAGATACATGGTGGATCCTCTGGTGGAGGTGAGAGTAGCCCCCCTGCTTGGCATGAAGAAGAATTCCAGTTCTCCCAGTGGCATCTCCGGCTAGATTTGGGAAAGGCTGCCCTCAGCCTGAAAATCTGGACAGTAAGAATGGGAGAATGACAGTGCATGGAAATCCTCCAGTTTCTGCCTGAGTGCTCGTGACTCATCTCATCTCATTATTGCTCTTCGGCAGTTTATTTTTTTTCAGACAGGAAATGTATGCATTTTCAAACATGGAAAATCTGTTCTTTTCCAAGCGTGCACACAAATGCTTATTTCCAAGCACCACTATAAGCTAAAGCATAAAAATGCAGATGTATGGATTGAAAATGCACATTCCTCAAAATATGCATCTGTGCAAGTGTGTGTTTCCACTTACTAGTTTATGCAAGCTCAGGAAAGTGTATACATGGCTTGAGAGTTAAGCTTTTGCTCCCTTTCAGAGTTGCAAATGGGATATGTTTGCATGGTCTGCAAACGTCAGTGAAATTCTCATACATAGCAGTCAGCACAGAAAGTGCCAAGCTGGATTGACCAAGGCCATTCTCTTGTGTTCCTCAATGTGGAATCCAGCTTCCTCATGTAAACAGAGGCGAAAGCTAGAAATCTCCTGATCTGTCAGTCCGTCTGAAGCAGCCTTCTCCAACCTGGTGTCCTCCTGAGTTCTGCAACAACTCCCATCTTCCCCAGCCAGTATGGAATAATTGGAGCTGTGGCTCAACACATCTGATGCCCTCTAGAAGTCTTCAGCCACAGCTCCCATCGTAGCCAGTATGAGATGATGTACCCCAGGTTGGGGAAGGTTGAGTTAGCAGTAAATGCTGTGGTCTGCTGAGCTGCAGCTTGGAAAACTTGGCTGCATTGAGAGAAGGTCCGTATGCTCACACTCCCTGCAGTGGTCCTCACGGTTTCTGGGCAAGCATCGTGCAAGGAACACTGCTGTCTTCCCTGCAAGTGAACCTGTTTGGAAGAGGGGAGCCACAGCTCCCAACTCAACTTGGCTGGCTGTGGCCTTCCTTCTTAAGTAGTTCCACTGATGGCAAGGGCAGACTGGCCCTTCCTTGCAAGTAGATGGATATGAGCTGAAGGTCTGTCGCTGCTTCCCCCTCGAGCATGAAGGGTAACTCAATAATATGTCAGGACAAGAAGAGGGGAGCATAAAAAGCTCATCCTGAGAGCAGTTGAATCCACAAATAAACTAGTTTATCTGTATTGTGAAATAAGCAGCCAGCGTCAGTCCAAGGCATTTTGGTTCAATGATGCCCAGGGACTTTGTCTTGTTATTTTTACAGTACACTTTCACTGGATCTGGTTTAACACCTTATTCCCAAGCCAGGTGTGCAGGAAACAACCCACTTCCCATATGCAAAGCACCGTGTTGTGCAGAACTTGGGTCCTTTGTTCTCTGAAAGCGCCATACTCATTTCAATGACGTCAAGTGTCATCTGGTCTGCTGGGTGGACTAACAGAGAATTAAAGTAAACTCTTTACGCTTGGACTGCAGGGGCGTGAAGCTCCAACTTCACAACAACTTGCTGCACAACAAGTAACCTGCTCCATTTGCTGCTCTCATTCTTCGACCATGGACCAGTGAGTCCAGGGGGCCTCTCTCCATCCTTGTTACACATTGCTGAAGGCTGTTCCTGCATTGTTGTGTTTCATTCATTCATTCTTCAAAAACACTTTCCCCACACAGATTCAGTAGATCCCTGTTCTTTCAGTTAAGTCAGCATCTTGCCAGAAAAGCATAATGGTTTGGGGACAAGTTATCAGTAATTCAAAGTACCAGTTCTAAAAGGTGAAATGGAAGGAGGCTGCTAAAGGGTGCTTGGGTAATTTTGTGTGTACATTTTCATGCATGCTCACCAGGGACAAGATGCATCTTCCCTTGCCACTCCAAAATGTCTTGCACAATCCAATGCATGTTTAGTCACAGAAAAGTCCTACCAGGACTTCTGTTCTGTCTGAACGTGCATAGGATTGCACTGATCTGGGTGAGGATGAAATCTGAGTAGCAGCCCATACGCTTGGAAAGATTTCAAAAGGGATCTGATCTCACCCAAGACAAAACCAATGCACAAGGTAGGAACAGGATCATGCTCCCATCATATATGTGGGTCGGATGATCAGAT